CCGCCGCCGCCATGTCCTCCATGGTCTATGATAATACCGCCGCCTCCGCCACCTCCGTGACCACCTCCAAAACCGCCGCCACCGCCGCCGCCATGTCCTCCATGGTCTATGATAATACCGCCGCCTCCACCACCTCCGCCGCCGTAACCGCCACCTCCGTGACCACCTCCAAAACCGCCGTCTCCATGTCCTCCATGATCTATGATGATACCACCTCCTCCATGGCCACCTCCAAAACCACCGCCTCCACCGTAGCCTCCTCCGTGACCACCACCGTGATCTATGATGACATCTCCACCTAAAATAAATTATTGTTTTTAGCGTTTTATTTATCTTGATATTATAAATATGATACAAAAAAGAGGAAGAGAAAAATAGTGAAAGAAAAAAAAGAAAGGAATTTTTTATTCAAACAAGATAAAAATAGAATAAATTTCTACTCATATTTAAAATAAATTACATTAATAATTATTAAGCGGAAATATTACCTTAATTTCATCTCTTTGCATTTTCTTAATGCATTTTATCATGATATAATGCATTTGGTCATTAATCACACGTATTAATTGCTCAATAAATAATACATACAGTATAATATTATTTTTCTTTCGGCGTTTCTTTTTCTGAGTACCTCTATCTTTACAAATTCATTTTATAAACAAAAAATTAATACTTAGAATATTATTAAAAAATAACATTCAAAATTAGAACGTATCTTTCATGCAATTTCTCCTTACCTCCGCCGATATCGTCATGACCACCAATGTCGTGACCACCTCCAAAACCTCCTCCAAAACCTCCACCACCTCCGTAACCTCCACCGTGACCTCCTCCATGACCCCCTCCGAAACCGCCTCCAAAACCACCACCTCCTCCATAGCCGCCTCCATGACCTCCTCCGAAACCTCCTCCATGGCCACCTCCTATGTCTCCAGGACCGGAGACTTCAATGTGATGATCGTCACCTCCACCGCCTCCACCTCCATGACCTCCTCCGCCGCCTCCACCTCCATGACCTCCTCCGCCATGATCTTCATATTTTATGATATGCTTTTCATGTTGCTGCACTACCTCCGGCAAGTGTATTTTTATATGCACACTGAAATATGAAAAGTGTGCTTAAAAAGAGGAACAGCGCGGTCCTAATTAACGTACTTTTTAAGATGTCAGTAAGTAATTACAGATATGCGAAGAATCTTATTTTTCATCTTCTTTCACTAATTTGTACATGAATTAATTGCATCCTGAATAAATTAATTACACACAAACGTGTAATTAATTACGCATGAGCGTTTAAGTGGGCTGCTGAAGGATGGTACAAATTTATGTTATTAGTATTTTCTCTATTTTTAGTTTTAAAATTGAATTTAATATTCTCTGAAAACACATAATTCATCGACCAATATGATAAATTTTACTAATATTTTTATGATTGGCACTCACTGCTCATGTCCAAAGGTTGCGAAGCCTACTGATAGAATATTTGCAAGAATGATGGCCTTTATCTGCAATTAAATAAATCTTCTTAATAATCTATTATTCTTTTTTTTTAATTTCAGCTATATGAATGTAATAGATGTAATGCTAAACGAGATATCACATAACTTAAAAAACGTATTTTACTTATTGTTTTCCATATTATTTCCGAGAATTATTTATAAGTATTCTTGTATTACAAAAATCGGAAAGATTACATATATAATATTGATTTACAATATTACTCTTTCTTAAAATCTGAATGGTAATTCTTATGTATTTATAGATGAAAAAGAATATAAAGTTCTTTCTATAACCCACAAATGCCAAGAAATTAAGGATTTCATTTTAAAAAATTGAAAATTGAACAATTTACAACTTCTTTCTTTTACTTTAAGAAATAAAATACAAAAAAAATAATCATTTAGATATTAAGAAATAAAAACTTTATTAATCGTTTTTTTATATTAAATGCTGTTATTTAATTTTAAACAGATTTTTTATTGTGCAACAAAAATATAAAAGTGAAAATAAAGCAACTGTTGTTAAAGCAACAGTTCTCAGTTACAATAAAATTTTTTAATTAATAAAATTTTTTTAAATAACAAAAACATGCATTATAAATATAGTGTGTTCAAGATTTTAATTACAATTAAGTATAATTTTACTTCAGATTGATTTTAGAAAATTATTCTTTCTGTACTAAAAAAAATCTGCTATAATATCAAATTTTATTGTTTGTAATCATTAATTTCGACTTACAACTTTAAAATATTACTGTAACACAGAAAACTATTTTATTATATTATTCTGTATTTATTAAGTTAAAGTTTCTAATTATTACAATAATTCCTTTTTTAAGCGAAGTTACGAAACTGTCATTCGTGCGACTGCAGATTTGGATGAGAAAAAATCCACTAAACGAAGACACTTTCAGACATCGATTGCACGCAAAGTCTTTAATCCTGTATTCTCAGTGAAACGATGGTTTTTATCCGTTTAAATATCTTACAGCGTATTTGATTTCCATTCTGGTATCCAGGACGCGACCGGATCTCGAACTTTTTCCTTCCACAGCTCACCACGGCGATCCGGTATACACTGTCATATATTTGCAGCCGCGGCCTTACCTGTATATATACCAGACGAGAGGAAATACCGGAAGAACGGAGTGGGGATGAAATAAAGATCGGGTACCCCGCACCGGAGGTACTCTCGGAAGAACACTCAAAAAGAAATCGACCGCGCGATGATGTACATAACTGGTGGGCATACCCCTTCGCTGTATACCCGAAGTACATGTACCAGATGATGCCTACTACATGTAGGCGCATAATGCGTTTCTGTGAACAAGAACGACCGTGACCCAGCTTGGTCCTAGAGAAATTCACGTTTGAGCTTTCTCGATTTTGCCGACATATGTATATCGATATTTATGATGATTAATTGCCACTAGCTATGTTTTCGATAATTGGAACATACGCAGTACAGTATCTTACTAGTTTCTACAGCTGATACTTTACAACGTTGTATACCAAATTTTAGAAATGAAATAGAAATGAAAAAGCGAAGAATAGATTTTTTTTCATGATTGTCCTGATCTTTTTATTACTCTAATCTAATCTTATCTCTCTTAGCTCTCTGAGCGAGCCAAAATTATATTTGTAGATAAACTGATTTCTAGATTAACCAAAAATACTGCGGATGCTTTTTTTCTCGCATTATATTATTTAAGAATTCCATCATTACAATTGGCAATTCATGATAAGCGCAATGCAGTGATTGATCTTTATGATTTATGAGTTTGGTGCGATATGTAAGTAGACGTAGATAAAAAAAGTATTAATATCGCGATTCAGAATTATTACTTCTATTGGTTATACACTTTCCCCGATTTCCAAAACAAAATGAGCTAGAAAATAGAATATTATAGACAACTCGTATATCTCTTTAGGATTTCTGCTCAAATATTTCAATTATAAAAGAAATGAATGTTTGCATGCTGCGTAAGAAAACGAAATCTTAACATTTGAGCTTTATTATCGTGAATCCATTTTTATAGATAATAAATTATTAATTTATTTATTTGAGTGCAGATACAGGCTAACGAATGATACAGAAACTATAATAAGTCACAATACGACAACACAAAATCACTACTTACAAAATTTAAGTAAAATCTGTTAACAATTTTTTCGTAGTAATATTTTAATGCCCTGCACAAAGCTGACATCGGTGTGTTGAAGCTATACGCAAATCATACATCTTTTTCGATGACATATATAAATTATGCGGTATGATAATAAACATTAATTCTTTTTGAATAATGTAATCCTTCGTGAATAATACATTATTCACGAAGGATTAATTGTATGGGAACGCATATATTCCCTTACAAAGTATCTATAATAATGTAACACAGAATTATATATACGTTTACACACACACACACACACACACATACGCACGCACGCACGCACGCACGCACGCACGCATACATGCGATAGTGATTGTTGCTGATTTAACTTATCAGCAACAATCACTATCGCTTGTTACGCATATCGCGTGAGAGAAATTAATTCTATCTATACTCTGATTAAAACTGATTAAACAATTGTATTAATTATACAGATTTTAATCGATCGCGGATATCGATTCGCCACAAACTAGCACGAACGCGCACGTAACGCGCGCATGGTCAATGTATTAAGTATAATATGTATATAGATACACAAAAACATCGTACAGTTGAAAGTAATTTAGATTCTGCTTTGATATAATTATTCTTCACACACACAAATTCTGCACTATAGCGTATTTACATTTTATCTTAATTTTAAACGCAATTTTTTCTTTTACTATATATATATAAGTGTAAATTATTATTAAGTTAAAAAGTTATATGAGAGTTTTAAATTAATTTCATACTCCAAATTTTGTCAAAGATATTCTTAGATTATTAGTGATTACTGGCTTCTAGAATAAATCTTATCTTATAACCGATATTGTTTCATATATCTTTCTATTTTAATAATTAATCAGATCTAAAAAGTACACTGAAAAGAATTCCCAGTGTCTATTGAATTTGTGTTATTAACATAAAATTAATGAGTTGGTAAGAACAATAGATGTAATAAATTTCAATTCAATTTGAACTTCTACTTTCTCAAATCTTCACACTACATTGCAGGTGTATGTACAGCTTATTGTTAACTACAATATATACAAGTATAAATTCCATTACATTCGCAACAATGGAATAACAAGTATACTCAAACAACTCACTATTTAATTGTTGGGAGATCTACTAATGCAACCATGTGAAAGCACAGAGTGAAAAATTATCTCGCATCTTACAGTTAATTATCGCGGAAGATTCCCTATACAAGACGTTTTAGATATTCATTAAATTACATTTGTTTTAAATATCTTTGCTAATTTTTAACTTTTTATTAACAAAATCGTTTAGAGCTATAAATCGTAAGCTAATAAAAGATTTTCCAAAAAACTGAAAGAGCTAATAAATTTTAATAAATAATGTAACTTATTGCAAAAGAGCTATCTTTAACAGATTTAAGAATTTATTTAATTTAAAGATTTTTTCGATTGAATTCGAATGATTGGTTATACAAACATCTGTTATATATTAAACTTATATTAAGAATGTTGTTAGATAATGGCACTATCAAATTTATTTCACTAAACATATCTTTTTAAATATGTTTTTGAAATATTATTATATATTATCATAGATTTTAAATATCTATTATACATAGACATGTTATCTCAAAAAAATAATTAAATATCTTTTTATATAAAAAAATAACATTTAGATTGTAAAAAACTAAATAATATCTTTTTTCACATTTTTTCTCAACTAAAAAGAGCTTAATATTTTTAAAAAATTCACAGATGAAAAACAATTTATTAATTTACAACACTTAATTAAAAATTTGTGATTCTTTAGTCGCCATGTCTACATTGTCTATCTCGTACAGTGCGTTAATGGATCTCATACACACGTGTACATCTCGAGCGCATAGATACTGTCGGGTAAGAAAATAGAAAGTAGCAGGAACACGCGGGAGGTAGAATAGGGTGCAGGGAAAGGGAGAGTGAGTGAAAATAAAAGGGTGAGAGTGACTGAGTCTAGTGAACGGGAAGAGACGGAAATGCATACCGCGTCGCGTTGAGAAAGACAGCTGCTTGTGGCGAATAACCGTGAGAGGCTCTCTCGGCTGTATTGAGCCGCTCCTTATCCTTTCACTCTTTTCCCTTATCGTATTCAAGCCTCTACGGCAAATTCCGCGACAAAGTGATCGCTAGCCGTGGCGAGCATTCACGGAGACTTCCTTTTACCATGAATTGCTGGCCTTGATTCCGCACAAGCTGACATTGACACGGTATCTCCGTTATATCATCCGTCAATGCTGGAGAC